GAAAGAAAGAAAGGAAGGAAGGAAGGAAGGAAGGAAGGAAGGAAGGAAGGAAGGAAGGAAGAAAAGCCCAGAAGTTACATTACTAACAGCCATGAACCCAACACTGGAAGTTAACAAATGTCACCACTTGGCCATATTTGCTTCTGATCCTTTTTTTTAATAATTATTATTGGTGGGGGAGGGTATAGCTTAGCATGCACGAGGTCCTGGGTTCAAACCCCAGTTCCTCCACATAAATAAGAAAATAAATAAATGTTTAAAAACCTAATCACCTCCCCCCTCAAAAAAGTAAAAATTATTATTAAAGAAATAAAATATAATAAATACAGTTGTCCCTAACCCCGCACCCTTCCCTCTGCTTCCTGAGGCTGGGACGGGCATGCCTCCCACCCAGGTGTGCATATTTTTGCTCTATGGTTAGATGTCCACAGATAACGCCTACTATTTAGTGTGTTTTCATACCGTTTAAGTCACTTTGCATGGCAACTTGCTTTTTCACTCTGCACATTTGCAAAAGTCACCTGGTCCGCTGTCCAAGTTAGCCGCGTGGGCGTATCCGTGTCCCATCACTGGACACCCAGGTGCTTCTTGTCTCTCCCATGACAACGAGGCGCCCTGCTCACTTCACGCTCGTGTGCAGGATTCCTCGGGGTCACGGTCCACAGGCAGAGTTGCTGGGTGGGAGCAGGGCTCCCTCAGCTTATGCAGACACCCCGACGGACACATCTGGACCATTCTCTGGGCGCTCTCGCTACCACCCCCATACTCCCCGTCGGGGATGCCCCGCCTGGTACTCGCCTGTTTACCCAAATGCCGGGATCCCCCAGCACACGGATTCCGGAGGGGTCTAGAGGCCATTTCCTCCTCAGTGATGCCCGTTCGTCTGTATTGAGGCTTTTCTGCTCCAGAGGGGCTCAAGCCCCAGCCAGCTGTGCCAGGTGTGGGGTGCACGTCGGGGCAGGGGATGCAGGGAGAACGCCCAAGTTCTGGGCACGGGCGCTCAAAGTCGGGAGAAGCCTGAAAACCCATCTAGTTCCGCTACCCATCCTGCTGCCCTCCGCTGGGCGCCTGTGCAGGAACTGCTAATTGAATTCGCCCTTGTGAAAAATGTTAACAAATTGTAAATGACCTCTTAGACAAATTTAGAAGTCAGGGGTGCGTGGCTGACTCAGCCTCCCTCCTCTGTCATTAGCTTTTATGTCGGATCCACAAACAATTAAAAAGTAACCAGAAGCCCAGAGGCCCTCTTCTCTAATTAGCTCTAAGAGTCCTGCCAGCGAGAGAGGCTCGGCTTCAATTACCACCCCTTCTCCCAGACCGCTTAGAAAGGCAGCCCCTCGGGCCAAGCGGGACGATTAAGAAGAGGGTGGAGGGGGTGCGAGGGGGTGAGAGGGGGTGAAGGGGCCGCAGGGGTCCCTTGAGGCCAGAGCTGACCGGCCAGCCCTCCCCAGGCAGAGGTGCTGGTGGCCACCAGGCTGCAGGGGCCTCTGCCAGGCAAAGGCTCAGAGCTGTGACCTCCAGGGACCAGGGGCCACGTGGCCAGGATCCCCTGGGGACGGGGAGTGCGCCCTTGGAACAATGTAGCTGCCTGGGCCCCAGCCCAGACCTGGTGAGCCAGATTGTCCGATCGTGGGACCCAGGCAACTCGACTTTCCATGAGCTCTCCGGGCGACTCTTGTTCGGGGACTGAGAACCTCTGTCCTCCACAGGCTGTGGGGAGGAGAGACAGGATTAACATGCAGCTTCTGATGCGGGTCAAGGCCTGTGTCTTCTGGCTCTAGGGCAGGACTTCCGGGGACCCTGGACACTCTTGCCTTCATGAGCCCCTTCCTCCATAAATAGTAATAGTAGTAGTAGTAATAATCATAATCACAATGATGATGATGATGGTGATGGTGATGATGGTGATGATTTAAAATAGTTCGTGGCTGTGCTGGTATAAAGCTGAATATAACCCAGGCTGGATTATTTTTATTTTTGTCTTCCGATTTTAAAAGCAATGAGAGCATCTTCGTGGGCCCCTAGGTGTGTCTGGGGCCCAGGCACCATGCTTCCCGGGCCCAGTGGGCAGGTTGGCCTTTGTTTTCTCCTTCACACCTTGTCACCCCGTTTCTCCTCTAAGGGAGTTCCCTCTCTCTTCCCACTCCTTCCTGTCCCTCCCAGCACCCCCTTTCTAGGGGGAGCAGGGATGAAGGCAGAGAGAGGATGAAATTCCGGCCTTGAAACCTGAAGACTCCAACTCAACACAGCACTCTCCTGCTCCCGTGTTGGGAGACTTGGGGCTTATCACATACCATCGCCATGGGCCTCCACTTCTCCATCTGTACGTGGGACCAATACTAGCTCCTGTGAGGTCAATGGGAAAGAGTTCTCTGAGCTCCTAGGAAGGAAGAGCAATGCCAAGTACTTTTGCTCTTTAAGAGCCATAGAGCTGGGGTTGTAGTATCATGTACCTGCAGAGGCGTGGCAGGTCAAAGGGCAAAGCCAGCCCCGTGTAAGACAATAGGGAGTGGTGGGGACTGCAGCAAACTCAAGCACATGCCTGGTCCCAGGGTGGCAGCTGCAGCCACTTACTGACAGGTGGCGATGTGGGCCCAGTGTTACCAGATGATCTAATGCCTCACTAAGAAAAGCCAGACATTGGGATTTCTATGTGAGTTCTTCAGACTTAAAAATATATGTTGGTCACAAGAATTTTTAAAGGCTATAGACCAAACTAAGCATGTCTGCTGGCCAGGCAGGAACTAGAGTCTTCTACCTGCAACCACATTTGGGTAGTGTTGCCACATATGGATTCGGAGCAAGGCGTTTTCTCTCACTGAACTCTTTATCGGTAGTTCAGGATCAACATCAATAGTGCTTTATCAACCAGCTGCTTTATCAGTAAAACAGGAGGTGAGACGGTAATAGTTCCTTTCTGCTAGGGCTCTTGTAAGGACGAAAAGAAAAGCATCCCTGCACGTGGGTACAGTGTGGGAAGGAGCGGGGCGAGGTCATCCAAGGGCAACAGGGAGGACCTGCAGGTTGATGGGGCTGTTGTGTGTCTTGACCATGGTGGTGACTACGCGGGCCTATGCGTGTGATGAAATTGTGTCGAAGCAAATACACAAGTGAGCATGAGTCAACGGCATCCGACTAAGACGGGTGGATTGTTCCATGTCAGTGTCCCGGCTTGGATTTTGTTCTTTAGTCTCGCCAGATGTCAGCACTGCGGGAAATCGGGTAAGGCGTACATGGGGTCTCTCGGTCTTATTTCCTTTTTGTTGTTTTTGGTTTTTGTGGAGTTTTTTGTTTTGTTTTATTTTTTAAGTTGATGTATTATTTCCTAAGACTACATTTGAATCTACAATGACCTCAATTTAAAAAATTCAATTACAAAAAACAAGCAAACCGACAAAAAGCTTTAGCTGTGGCTTTGGTAGCCTATGGGGTAATGTCAGAATCGCTTATTACAAGAAACAGTGGTACAACTTTAGGCACACGTAAAGTGCTCAGGAATGGTCACCAAGGTCACCTGCCCACAGATGGACATGTTCGCGAAGCCTCAGGCGGTGGGGAGCAGGGAGGTGCCTGGAGCCCTGAGCCTCACTGCTCGGGTCCAGCTCAGAGAAGCACCTCCCGCAGGTGGAGGAGAAGCTGGATCTCCTTAGACGGTGCGGCTGTCAGGTGTCCCTTGTGGGCTGGATTTTGATTTAGAACGGCCAAGAGAAACCCAGCCCTCCAGCCTCTTCCCTCCTCCAAAACCAGACCTCTAGGGCCCAAGGCGTATTCTGAATTTCACTCCGAGCTGGTGCAGCCTGTCCCGGAGGCCACCGTCCACTCAGCCCTTGAGGCTGTGCGGCCGCCAGCGCGCCGGCCTCTCCCGCCCCCTGGGAGCAGCAGACCGCTGGCACCTTAGAGATGGATTTTAATTTTATTTTAACAAAATAGCTGTCTTCACTGGAAAAAGCATCAAGCACCAAATAAGGACCCGTCTTGAGCGGAACCACGTTGAACAGACCTCCGTGCTGTCATTGATTTTCCAGGAAGAAAAAAATTGCCTCTGGCTACTAAACCGAATTAGTAGTCACTGATGACCAATTATTTTAGCCCGCTGTGAACGGAGAGCCGCACTAAAATCCGGTTTGTCAGACCCAAGGCTCCCTTCTCAAACACCTTTCAACAAATGTGTACCTAAAGTCCCTCAGAAGCTTCCTACAGCTTCCTCTCTTCCTCCAAGTTCTCCAGCTCCACAAAGTTTTAATGAGCAGCGAAGATGAAGATGGGCTGCCATGAAAGGGGCCCCCTTTAATCCACAGAGCCCTCCTCTGCAGAGAGGAGCCGTGCTGGCGAATCAGAGCTGTCAGCCCTCATCCCCCCACACGCACAAAGTGTCAGCCTAATGTTTGCAAATGATAATTTCCATTTCCTTTGCACGTCCCCAGTGCCTTCATCGGAGATCAACCCCTGGTCTGGGGTATCAATCGCCAAGCCGTGGAAGATGGATTTGATTGAACTAATTTGAAGTTTCTTGTAGATAGGAGCTGATTTTATTTCATTTTATTCCCCATTTCCCGCTTTATCAGGCTTCGTTTTGACACGGTTTTGTTGTTAGTCGTGGAATGTCAGGGTGGTGAGGAACTTTTCCGAGAGGTTCCTTCCAGGTGATCAGCAAATAATTTGTCGAAGCCCTCGGCGGCGGCCCCGCCGGCACAGATCACTGGGAGCCGTGGCGGGGTCACTGAGCGCACAGCCTAACCATCAGGACCCGGCATCTTTAGAGCCGGGGACGCTGGATGGGGACCCTCCTGGCCTCCCCGCTCCATGTCCATGAGCAAACCGCAGGCAAGTTGCTTGATTTCCCCGCGTCCCGGTTTCCACGTCTGGAGGCAGGAAGGTTCACCCTCCCTTTCAGGATCATGGAAGAGTCAGTGAGACTGCAGTTGGAGCACTCGCCAGCAGGCTTGGTATGGTAAATGCTCATTAAAACAGGAGGCTGTTGGAGGGCTGTGCGGCACGGTGCCAGCCAGGCCTGACCTCCATCTTAGTTCACGCTGGGCCCTCTGTCCGGAGTCTCACTTCCCTGTCCAGCCACCTCTGGGTCACCCCCAGAGACCCATTAAAAGGCTCAGAGGGGACTTTGCTCATTCCACGCCCTTGCTCAATTAACTGTGTCTACACTGGCGATCAGCCTTCTGTTCTGCAGGGGGGCAGGGCTGCAGGATGGCTATACCCACAGGCTTCCCAGGCAAATACAATATGTCACCCACAGGCTGTGTGGTCTTGGGCAAGACGTGAACTTCTCTGGGCCTCAGATTTCTCACCTGTGAAAAGAGGATCTTAGTATCTGTCTCTAGAGTTATTGTCTGAAGGACACAGGAAGCAGACAGGAAGTGTGAGCTGGGATGATGACCGGTGTTTCTGCCGCATGCCCTGTGACCCTAGAGTACAGAGAGCCTGGTCCATGACGGGGAGCTCATTAATGCTCCTGGGTGGGCCGGGTGGATGGATGGATGGATGGATGGATGGACGAGTGAACACAGAGTTGAGATGGTAGCCCCTCTGCTGAGTCTTTCCTCCCCCTGCAATGGCCTTGGATCCTCAAATCCTGTTTCCTTCCTTTCCAGTGATTCACGCCACCACCACAGCAACAGTTCCAAAGTGTGACTGTCAGCATGTCCTCTCTCCTTGTGCAGAAACCTTCCACGGCTCCCTAGTACCTTCACGGAGACTTTTCTGTGATGACTCTTGCCTTGGCTATTTTCTCCTCAATCTGTCTTCTTAGTTCTTTCTTAAAAAAAAAAAACTTTACTGAGGTATAATTTACAGATAATGCAATAGTCCATATATAATTTGATGAGCCTTGACAAATTTATACACCTGGGTATCCAATGAAGGCAGAGCACATTTCCATCACCTCAGAAGTCACCCGTTCTCCTTTGTGGCCAGTCCTCCCCCACCTCCAGGAGGACCCTTGCCCTGACCAAGCTCCCCAACTCTAGTGTGGACCTGGGCGGATTCCCTCTGCCCTCCTGGCCCAGGAGCCCCTCTCCAGACATTTGTGCAGAGCCAGCCCTCTGTTCCTCTCTCTCTGGGCTCCAAATTGCCTCTAAGTGCCCCCAGCCTCCCATCCCCAACCCCAGTACTCTGGGGAACCCTTCCAGTGTCACGTGGAAGCCTGAATCACTTTCAAACATGCTTTTAAAAAGTCCTAATGAATGGTCTGCGAGTCCCAGATTTCCCTGGCCCAGCCCCCTTCTCTGCAGCACAAGTCCCATAGCGCACCCCTAGGAAGGGGCCCTGCCCTGCGTCACTGTCCTGACCGTGCCCTCTGTTCTCGGAATGGGGTGGGGTGCCACTGCAGTCCCATTCGTCCTCCAGGATCCGCTCTGACACCCCGACCACAGTAACTGAGTCCCCGTGCCAGAGAGAGGCATTAAAGGTCCAGAGCTTGGCCTCAGCGCCTGCACCGAGGCTGACACCCCAGGCGGGGGAGGCCAGGGAGCTCCTGGGTGCACACGGGCATAGAGATGGCACCGAGCCTTTGAAAATCCTGCCCGACACCCCGCAGCAAGGAGAAGCCACGGATGGATCTGAGGAAGACAGCATCAGGTGGGCACCTTTGGAGAGGCCTCAGTTCCTGTGTGCAGGAGGGTCTGGTGATGGCAAGGACAGTGTCTGGGGAGGTCTCGGGTCCTATATGAGAATAGCCAGGCCCCCGGGTTTGGCTTCTATCTGCAGTCGGTTAGCTGGCAGCCCCTTCAGCCTTCTGGGAAATGTATTTGCAACCTCTTGGCTGCAGATGCCGTAGCTGGAGTGGTAGGGGTCCAGGCTGGGCTGCTGAGTGTGCTGTGTGACCCTGGGCCAGCCATTTGACCTCTCTGGGCTTCGGTCTCCCCACTCCCACCTTTCCCACCTCGTTTAGTGAAGATAAATAATTGAGATCTTCTGAGTGAACCTCTGCAGTTCCTCACAAGAAAGCTGCAGTTTGGATGGCTATAATTGTGACCATGGGGGCTCTCAGCCTGGGGCAAAATCATTCATTTTGGAGTGGAATAAAAAAAAACGGAACAGAATTTAAGGTAGCAGCAAAAAATAGTTGCAGAAGAAAACAAGAAAAATGGCTCCTAAAGACATATCCCAGCAGGGCTGAGCACATGGGAAAATGCTGAAACTCCCCAGCCCAGAACAGTGCAGCGCCGGGCTCCGGCCGGGAGCCTCCCTGGGGCCTGGAGGCCTGGCCACACTCCACTGCTCATGGTGAAAAGGGTGAAAATAAGAAAAAAGCAGCCAGGAGACTTCTGATCTGATGTTTGCAGGGCTGTGCATGGCGGGGCTGGTGGGTGGAGGTGGGACATGGATTCTGACCCAGATCCATCACCCCCATCACTGGCTGTGTGGCCCTGGCCGAGGCACATGACCTCGCAGACATCGATTTCTTTCTTTGTTTGTTTCTTTTTTTTTCTTTTTTTTGGCTTTATTTGTTGCAAAAGCCTCCCGTAAAACCAGCAAGTAGACTGGAGGGGGAGGGGGCCCCCTTCCCCCCATCACGTCTGCCTCCCTCCCCCAGGACCATCATCTCTGGCTTCCTTCTGGTCTTTTTTCCAACCTTCTCACCTGTGTTGATGCACTTACGCAGGTCTGACTCTTCCTCCCCAGCTTCTTATTTTATACTTGACTGACATCTCGGAGATCTTTCTGAGTCATTACACATGTGGCCACTTCGTTCTTCCAGGCAGCTGTATCGTAGCTCCTGATAAATGTGACCAGTGCAGTGACCAAGTGGGAGGGGCAAGGGAATTCGGAATCTGAGTGTCGTCGCCTTGTCCAAACCTGTTCTGAGGGTCAATTTCTTTCCCAGGTGAGGTCTCTGTGGCTTTTCTGCTCACTTCCAATTCCAAAAGACCAAGCTCTTTTTTGTTTATTTGTTTTAACACATTTATTGTGGTAGGGTTCCTGTACAGTAAACTACACAGATTTCAAATGTACAGTTTGATGAATTCTAATAGATGTGTACGCCCGTGAAGCCACCACCGCAAATCAAGAGAGCTAACATTTCCATCACTCCCCAGGAGGTGCAATTTTCAAATTCCCAGTTTATCCCTTCCCATCCCCTTTAACCCCTGGTAACCATAAGTGTTCTCTATGTCTCTGAGTCTGCTTCTGTCTTATAGATAAGTTCATTTGTGTCGTTTTTTTAAGATTCCACATATAAGTGATAATACGGTATTTTTCTTTCTCTT